GCCATTACCATTTCCTGAAGCAGTGTAGGATTGGTAATCTCAGAAAGGTCTTCCAAAATTTCCAACTAGGTGGCTTTATGCGGGTATGATGGTTAATTTTGTGTGTAAACTTGACTTTGTAATGGGATGTTAAACATAATTTCTGAGTGTGTCTTTGAGGGTGTTATGTGGCTCAAGAACCACAAAAATGACCTCAAACCTTCTGGATTGCCCTGAAGGAGAGTCTTGTCTCCTGCATCTGTAAAGCTGATATTGCTTAAAATTAAATGCAGAATCTCATCCTGGTAGTGGTTGAACAGCAATGCAATTGAATTTCCATCCTCACAGTGTCTACTGTAAAAGTGAGGGCATACATAAGAAAAGAATGGGATCCTGTAAGTTAGATGGGGTGGGGTTCTAAGATCAGCAAGACAACTGCTCCAGATGAGGCCATTACCATTTCCTGAAGCAGTGTAGGATTGGTAATCTCAGAAAGGAGTGGAGAGCCCAACACCACTGGGAATAGGGAGGCCACTTCCACTGACAAAAAAGCAGCATCACAATTTCGGAGCTTCATGTCCCTACCTTCACCAGGGTCTCCCCACAGATACACATATGCCAGTGATTTCAATCAAATAAAGGTAGTCTTAAAATAATATGTATCGTATTTACTTGATTTACAGTAGCCTTTCTTGAGTCCCAACAAAAGATATAAAATTAAAGCTCATGGGGGTGAGGTGGTAGTGGATGTTCACAAGTGAATATCAGTGTGTTTCAGGGCATTAAGATAGATTTGTTGAAATTACCGGTTTAATGTATTTAGAACATAATAAACAAAAGTAAGCCCTTCATTTCCTCAAGTTTGATTTTTAAATCATCATCATCAAATGAAAATTATATGAACATTTCTCATTTTGTCAAACTAGATTTTCAGAGCATTAGTATTGTTTACTCTCTCCATTTGGTCAAAACCACAAAGAAATAAGGTACAATGGTGCATACCTGTAGTCCCAGCTCTTTGGGAGCCTGAGGCAGGAGGATTACAAGTTTTTTGAGGCTAGGCTGGGCTACTTAAAAATCACAAAGGTTGAATCCATTTCCTTCAAGTATAGCAATTTCTATTTTTTTAAAATGGGCTTATTCTCCAAATCATATGTTAAGAAATAAAATATCCGTAATAGATTTGAAAAAGTTATAAAAGAAGGAGGGAAGTTCTGAAACCAAGGTAGGGGACGGGGGAAATCAGGGAAGTTAGGTAGGAGTCCATAAATCCATCCATTTGGCTTTGCTCTTAAAAGAGGCAGCTCCTGAGTCAAATCTGGAGCTCCATTTGGTATAATTTAAGAAGAATTACCCAATATATTAAAAAGTAACTAAAATAATAAAATTACAATAAACATTTTAAAATCTTGCAAGCATATTAAAGTTGTTGGTCCAATTGCTATTTTTAATTAAACTGCTTTAAAATGTGATGTCATAATATGCATATACATATCATTAAATGCTATATCTCATTTTGTCTTAAACTTGAATTTTTTTGATTCTCAAGTGATGCGCAGCAAGTATCCTGAGGTACCTAGTTCCTGTCTCTGCTTGTGACTAATATTCATCCCTTAACCGTATTTGCCAAAAAGGCAAATTTTAATTTTATTGTAAAAAATTACAGTAAATTATGTTTAATGGACTTTCAAACATAGTTCTCTCACACAACGCTTTAATTTAAGATAGACAGTTTTTTCTCTTTTAAACTGTAGTTGGGATAATTTTCAAGCAATGGTGTATTTCTTTTGATTTTTCTCTTATTTTTCTGATAAACAGAGTAACTGTAATAAATCCTGATCCTGCCTTTGGTCTGGATATTTAGTAGCTATGTATTTGTTTTCTTTGATAGCAACACACATTAATATTTATAACCATTTTCCTTTGCAGCATCTCCCAGATGGCTCTGCGCCCAGTGCACATGTTGAATTTTATCTTTTACCATATCCCAGTGAAGTTCGTAGGAGGAAAACAAAATCTGTTTCAAAATGTACCGACCCCACTTACAATGAAATTGTAAGTATGATTCATCTCTTGTCCAGTCATTTTGTATTTTTCTTACCATTTTTTAGCTTAACAACCAAATATGGAGAATTTGCAGTAATTGGCAGCATTATTCCATAAAGGAAGATATTTCCCAAAATAGTCACAGTATGCTGATCACTGTTCTAGATGCTATGGGAACTGGAAAATACAGATACTACTTTCAAAGCTCTCATGAGCCAATTTCCAAATTGCAGCTAACCTCCAGCAAGAGCCAGAGACTTATTTTGCATACAAACATTATTCCTGTCCTCATTTTATTTTCTCTAACCTTATTCTCCCTTACTTGATTCTCTTTACTTCATAATTTTATCATAAACAATCCTGTGTATAATAGTGAATCTCATTAAATCTCTTTTGAAAAACTAACAAATATAAAATACAAATGAAAGTTTATGCATATTATAAATAGCTCTTTAATTGATTTAGAGTATACAGTTGGAACATCCAATCCCCTAGCTTCTTTCTAAGGCAAATCCCTGCATTTATTCTCTTGAATCCATCTTTTTCTATTTCCTCTGTACTTGTTCATTCGATTATTTGCTCTTTTTTTTAATGGTTGTCTCATTGATTGGATGCTCCATTGCTCAATTCTGAAATCTTTAAAACAAAAAGACCCTCCTGATTTCAGTCTTTCTAAGCAAACTTTCTTTCCCTCCCTGTCATCTCCAAAGTTTTGCAAAATTAACCCACACCGCTAACTCTCACTTCATTGCTGCCTTTTCACCCTTTAATCCTTTGAAATCTGAATTCTGATCTTTATTACTAGTACTTAATTCAGACAGCATCAATAGACTCCTAATTGGTAAATCTGATGATCCCTCAGGCTCTCCTCTCCCCTCCAGATGTATAGCAGCACTATTGACTGCAGCATTTCTTGAATCCTATCTTTTGCTTCTTGAATTAATCTACCTTTTCTTAATTCGCCTTCATTTTTTTTTCTAACCACTACCTCATTTTATTTTGCTGACATCCTTCCTTTTACAATACTGTTTGCTAGTCACTAATAGAAAATTTTAAAATATATATTGTTTGCTAGAGTTCCATGGTCCACCCTCACTTCCTTTTCATAGACAGTCAGCCCTCCTTATCTGTAGATTTTACATCCAAGGGTTCATCTAACTGTGAATCAAACATTTGAAAAATAAACTTTTTGTCTATACCGAATATGTATAGACTTTTTTCTTAACATTATGGCACAGCAATTATTTATACAAAGTTTATATTATATTGGGTAATATGAATCATCTAGAGATGATTTAAAGTACACAGGAGGGTATGCATAGATTATATGCAAATGCTATGCATTTTATATAAGAGCATCCTTGAATTTGGAAATTCTGGAGCCAGTCCACCGTGAGTAACAATGGATGGCTATATATGGCCTCAAAATTCTTATGTATTCATACATTTTCTTTTATCATCTGCATGGAAGTTACATCTGAATTTATTCCTCAAGTCATGGCTTCACTCTCAAGCTTTTGACCTGTACTCTTTCTGATCACTGGGGAGCTTCATTTAAATATTTCCAGGCACATGAAGCCAGGTTTTCCTCTTTCTTTGACATCTCAAAAGGCTCCTTCTAGTGACATCTCCCTCTTCCTTACTTATGTGTTCAGCTAATCACCAAGTTTTCTCACTTCTACTGGTGCAACCTCTTAAATCCATGATCTTTTCTGTGCCTCATATGTCTTCTGTATTTGAGGTCCTTGTCACTTTAGCCATTATAATAGCCTTACCTGCCTCCTGTCTTGTGTCTTTTAATTAAATCTTTCATATTTCTACCTAAGGTGCCTTTCAAAAACTAGTTGTATTTATTGTTACCCTGTTGAATGTTCTTTAAGTTTCCTTCTTGCCTTATATAATATGTTCAAAGTCTTAAATGTGGCATTCACTCCCTTTGAATGAACTCAGTAATATTCCTGAATTTCCTTTTTGAGCAATATCATCCTCACACTCTTTTTTTATTTTATTTTGAGAAAATTACAGATTCACAGTCAGTTATAAGAAATAATACAAAGAGATCTAAATATCCTTCTACCTCTTTCCCCTAAGGTGATATCTGGCATAACTATAGTATAGTATCCCAATTAGTAAATTAACATGCATACAATTCACTTACCTCATTCACATTGCACATTTTACATGCCTACTCGTGTGTGTGTGTTTAGCTTTACATATTTGTATCACATTTGTAGATTTGTGTGACCACACCTAAGATACAGAACAGTATCTTTAAAAGGATTTTTAAAGTTACCCTATTTCAGCCACAGATGTCTCCCTTCTTCTAACTCTCTTTCCCTGGCCCCTGGCAGCTACTAACTTGTTTCCCATCTCTATAATTTTGTCATTTCAAATGTTGCATAAATGGAAATACATCATTTGTAATTTCTTGAAATTGGCTTTTCAACTTCATGGAATGTGGATGCCACAGACTGTTTAACTCTTCACCTAGTAGGAGACATCAAGCTAGTTAGAACTGGGACTATCAGGAATAGAGTAACAATGAACATGGATGCACAGGCCCTGTGTAGGTAAAAATTATAATTTCTCTGGGATAAATATCCAAGGGTATAATTTCCAGGGTATATAGAAGTTTTATCTTTAGTTTTATAGGAAATTAATGTACTTTTTTTCCCAGAAAAGCTGTACATTAGTCTCTTTTATTCAATATTTTGTTTTTTTCAGTTTCAGTTAACTTCAGTAAAACATGGTCCAAAAGTATCAATTGGAAAACTCCAGAGATAAAAAAAAATTCATAAGTTTTAAATTCTGTGCCATTTTTGTAGTGTGAAGAAATCTCAAAGCAGCACCCCCGCCCCACCCATCCTGCTGCATAGGACATGAATCATCCCTTTCTCCAGTGCATCTGTGCTGGACAGACTGTTATCTGTTGGTCACTTATATTAGTTGTCAGATCCACTGTCACAGTATCACCGCATTCAAGTAGCCCTCATTTTATCTAATAATGGCCCCAAAGCACAAGAGTAATGATGCTGGCAATTTGGATATGCCAAAGAGAAGCTGTTAAATACTTCTATTAAGTGTCATCACACATTATCATCAGAAGTGGGAGTACTACAGTAAAATATTTTGAGAGAGGAAACCATACTCACATAGGTTTTAGTACAGGATATTGTTATAAATGTTCTATTTTATTACTAATTGTTGTTAATCTCTTACTGTGCCTAATTTTTGAATTGAACTTTATCACAAGAATGTAGATACAGGAAAAAAAATAGCATCCATGGGGCTCAAAACTATCTGTCATGTCAGGCATCTACTGAGGTCTTGAACAGTATCTACAGTAGTACAGGGGACTGTTGTACCATTTTCACTCCAACCAGCAATGTATACTCATCGGGTTTCTTTGCATTCTTTCCAGCATTGGGTATTATGATTTTTATTTCAGTTCTTTTGCTAGTATAAAATTTCTCATGTGGTTGCCATTTACCTTTCCTTAGTGACCAACTAATGATGCCAAACTTCTTTTCGTGGGCTTCATTGCTGTCTATCTTCTTTGTAGAAATATGTCTTCATGTCTTTAACCATATTCTAGTTGAAATGTTGGTGTTTTTACTCTTGAGTTTTGAGAGATCTTTATATATGCTGAATGTTAATCCTTCGTGAGATATGTGGTTTACAAATATTTTCTCCTAGTCCATAGTTTGTTTTTTTCATCCTCTTCACAGGGTCTTTCTCAGAGTGAAAGGTCTGAATTTTTATGAGTTCTAACTTGTCAATTTTTGCTTTGATGGATTATGCTTTTGGTGTCAAATCTAAGAACACTGCCTGGCACAAAGCCCCAAAGATTTCTCTCCTGTATTTTTTATATAAGCCCCATAGTTTCATATTTTATATTTATTATCCATTTTAAGTTGATTTTTAATAAGGTGTGAGTCTTAGGTCAAGTCTGTCCTCAGTCTGCCTCCCTCTCCCCTGCATTCCCACCGTGGATGCTATTTGGTTCAGATCCACTTGTTGACAAAGCAGTTCTTCCTCCACTAATTTTCTCTGGCATCTTTGTCAAACATTATTCAAAAATTTGTGAATATATACCCTTTTGTTTCTATTTATTTGGCCACAGTCCCAGGTCACACCAGACACCCTGTCATTCCCTGGATGGCCCCTATGGCCTCTGTGATGAACTCATGCAACCATTCAACACTGTGCCTTTCTCTAAGTTGGAGTTTACCTCTGGTGTGATCTCTGTAAACACTCTCACCTCCTGGACTCTTCCATCAACTTGTGATCTTTTATTTAGTCCTATACATATTTTTCTTCGACTACAGTGTAGACTATTTGAGGATGAGGAAAATGTCTCATCTTTCTTAATATCTTTAACACTCAATTACTTCTTAATGGGTGTGTAATGAAATATTTCAGATAGTTTCATAAGTGACCCTGTGAGTAGAATCAGGTAAAATATAAATGTCTATAAAATGTAAATACACACACATATACATACACACATGCATACAGAGAAATATTCATTAAATTAGCAAGGAAATATATTTGGACATTTTATCATTTATCATTTTGTCAATAACTAGAGATACACATGCCCCAGAAATATATCACTTGTTTCTTTTCATATTCTTAGAGTACAAGTCCCTCTACCTTACTATCAAGAAACTTCTCAAACCACATGCTATACCTTAGCATTAGCAATCTAAGAAAACACATAACAAAATCTGAACATTCAAGATAACTTAAATAAGCTAGTATTTAATTTTTTCAAACATTATATATTATGAAAACAGCAGTAAGTACACATGCATGAAGATTATTCTCTAACACTTGTTGTGTACATCAGTTTTCTGATGACTTGAAATGATACTAGGTCTTCGTATATCCACGGCCCACTGAGTAGGAATCACTACAGTGCTTTCCCAATTAAACTATACTTGAAGCATGAAAACACACTATTCACACTTTGGACACATTTAAAATTACAGCAAAAAACTAGTTTCCATGCATAGCCAATTCCAATCTCCATATAATGCAAATTATCAGAAATCTGAAGCAATGCATGCTTAAGTGACTATTTTAATAGTAGTCATCAGGACAGTAAGATGTCATCACATAAACAAGTTTGGCAGGGATGCTCGTTGAATTTAGAGAACCATAAGAGAAAAATGAGCCACGGTATTTTTATTTTTCTCCCAATATGCTCTATTGTTGTATGTCAATACAACAATAATATTTCTAAGAAATGCAAGAAAAGGTCCAGAACTTTTAAATCTGATTTTACTTTGTTTCAATCTCAATAGTAATGCAGGACCCCATCATTGCACCAATCTATGATTTTTTTCTGTGCACTTTCAAGGACACTTTACGATACATCCTTGCTAGTAGGCTGGATGCTGTCTAGAGAGCATAGAGAGCTACCATACACCATACACCATATTTTAACTACCCCTACCTGCTTCCTCTTCCTCACTGAGGACCACTTCATCAGCCACTCACCTCAGCTGGGATTCCTCACACTGCTGAAGCTGTGCAATGCACTGAGAAGTGAGAGAGGATCACCTGGCTCTTCTTATATAAATCCCTTAGCGAAATTCCAAGGGGATGCTACATTGCATACCAATCTTACAAAGCTTTTCATAAAAATACTTCTTCCCATTTGTATTCATAGGCATTTTAATACCCAGACATGAGAGAGGCTAGGTCAGGGACAGAGCCACATGGCAGAGATTACACCCTCCAAATACAAAGGCTTTGGTACTGGGCCCAGCTTGTCTATTGCAGATTACTCTATAGAGTGATTACAGCACATGGCTAGGTACATGGTACACTCAGTAAGCCATAGCTATTGTTATCTGTTCTCTATCTCATGTGATATTCACAACATAATGAAATTCACACAGTGAAGCACCACATAACAATATTTCAGTCAGTGATGAATCAAGTTTAAGAAACAGGTTCCATAGATTATATCACCTAGCAACAGTGTAGACATGTTAGTTTGCATGAGCACAGTCAGGTGTTCACATAACAACAAAATCACCTAATTACATGTTTCTCAGATACATCCCATCATTAAGTGATGCATACCTGTATTTGTAAATGAAGATGTTGGGACCCAGAGGTCACAGAACTTGTTTTTGAGATGAGCAATGTCGGATCCCAAAGCCCATGCTTACCCCACCATAATATGCTGTCCCTCCATCCACAGGGTTCTGATGTCCTCGTTGTTTTGAACTGTCTCTCATCATCCTGCCTCCTCAGAGCTCTTCTCATCAGCTCTGATACTCCAGTTTCCACATTATTGTTCTTCCACTGCAATCATGAAAATGCTCTTTAAAATTATTTACTAGACCCTTGTGTCAAATAATGTACAGCAAATGCTTGAAAATAAGCTAATAGATGCTAATTACACTTAAAGGTTTTCTATTTGATGTAATAATTCCAAAACCACAAATCCAGTATTTGTCAGAAGGTAGTAAAGACTTGGCTCATACCTGTGGGCAAAGAATATTATAAAGAGATATTAAAAGAGCAATTCATTTTTGGTCCTGTTTATGTGAAAGCATAATATATATTAAATCATTTGGCTAAAAAAAAATCTCAAAGAACATTTTCATCTGTGTATTTCTCTAGCGTTACCCACTAACTATTCATTGAACAGTAAAAAAAAAAAAGTACTATTTTTAACAACATTGCAGTAAAGCAATTAAAAGAGATATATATCATCTATGGTATGCAATAATTATATGTTTAATAAAACTTCAGTTACTTTTAAGAACATAACTTTGCACAGTGAATCACAGGTTAAAAAATCATTAAATCTGTAAATTGGGGGAGTTTGAATGTTTATATTAGCATTGAATATGTACCAGGCTTTGTAGTAAGGCCAATATTATTCTTTCACTGATTCATCCCACAATGCTAAAGGTAAATACTATTATCACCACTGTGAAAGTGAGAAAACGTAAGGTTGACAACAGATTCATGTAAATATAAGATATTGATATATTTTGTAAAACTTTATATTTTTATGACTTCCTTATACAATTGACAGAATCTATAAGCCAGACTTTTCCAGAAGCCTAATGCTTGGAGTTATCCCATTTTTCTACTTCATACACAGTAACAAAGAGGATTGCCTGTTTTCTCTGAAAAACAAGGCAAGAGTTCATCTGCTTAAATTGGTATAGGAAGAAAAATGGAGGATAATTCTGACTGTTCAAGATGGCCACTAGAGAGAAAAGGAAAAGAGTGTACTCTGAAATCCTGGAAAGTTGTCCCAGCCATATTGGGTATCTAGTTGTAGTTAAAGAATATGAGTTACAGGGGTAGGAGCTTGAGATGTTTTTTAAGGCAGTCCTTAAAATCCTCTGTTATCCCGGGAGAACTTAATAAACGAGATGGAATAATCTGAGTGAGTAATGCTAGAAACGGAAAGATTTTATTTTTGTCTGGAATATGAGTAAGATTCCGGAAGAGGAGACCCCCTGCAGCAGCATAGACTGGATGAACATTACATTGCATCTCATGTCCTTTTGGCTAATTTTTACCTGATGAGTGAATCAGTGCCCGAGGCAGCTAACAGATTGATCTGGAGCTGAATTTCATTGATAACTTAACGGGTTCATAAATGGTAGCCTGTGCTGTGTGAAGGTACAGAAACCTACATCCACACTCACTGAGGAGGCGCCCAGTTGACTCGGAGGGCGGGCTTCCCTTTCAGGTTGTCTTTTCTGCTTCTATTTTGCGTGTATTGCAAAAGTTCCTTTCTATCTTGTAAAAGGCAGGCTTGCAGCAACATATGAAACTCCCTTTTCTAAATGTGTACCCAGAAGTTTCCCTGGCAACCATGTCAGATTTCCACTCAGCCCTCCCCTCCTGTCATGAAGGGTAACTGATGCCTTTATAGCACTGCACTTTGCCCCTACAGGCTCCCTAGTACTGCCTGCAACTTCCTGGATATTAGAAAACAGATCCCCTTTTTAAAAATAGTCACATGAAAAAGAACAAGAAACAAACTGCATATGCAGCATAATTACAGGTCAGAGTCTTATATATAGAAAACAAAAAGAACATCCAAATGTTAACTGTAATTATCTCACTGGTGGAAGTTTAGATTTTTCCTTCGTTTTTTTTTTGTTTGTTTGTTTGTTAGTTAGTTTCATACATTTTGGTGAATAAATATTTATGTTCATAATTAAAAATTAAGAAATTTTAAGTTAAAAAAAATCCTCATAGAGGATTTCTTTATATGCACAAGGAAATATTGTTGCACCACATTTAAGTAGTAGCACAAGGGAATTGTAGAAATTCATCTGTCTTTCCTCATTTGCCTTCAACACAGAAAGATGGTGTTAAAGTTCCAATGTTACTCAGTAAATTCAAGGACAGTTAAAAAGTGAAGAGTATTTAAATTTGTTCCTAGGGAGTAATTTACAGTTTCACTAAATTTGGAGCAGGCAATTTTAAGTGGAATCAGTAAATTCTAAGATTGTTAGAGAAATAGTGTGTCATTAAATTCAATTATATTAGTAGAACCTTTAGCTTTTCAGATTAACTTTTGGAGTGAAAGATTTTAACGTTAACCTCTCTACTCCAGGGAACAAGATATTAGCAGCTACATTTTTTTTTGAATTAAAAGTAATATTCGAAAGAGATGCATTTAAACACATCTGCCATATTTTCATTTTTCCTCTCTCTTTTCAGGTGGTATATGATGAAGTCACAGAGCTCCAAGGACATGTCTTAATGCTTATTGTGAAGAGCAAAACTGTATTTGTAGGAGCAATTAACATCCAACTCTGCAGTGTCCCACTCAACGAAGAAAAATGGTATCCCCTAGGAAACAGTATAATCTGACCATTGCTATGAAAATATGCATTATTCATTAACTACTTATAATTTTTCCACTTATAGGTCTCTCTGTCATATAAGCAGGACATTTTTAGTGTCAAATATAGCATAGGGTATTAAGGACATTAGAAAAAAAGAAAAAAGAAATCACAATCAGTCTTTTCAAGTTGTTTTTTTCTCCATTTGTACTTTCCTTGTTTTCTTAGAATCTTCTCTCCTTAAATGGAGTGCTCATTGTGAAATATAATAAAAAGAATTCATTTTAATATATAGTTTATTTTTTTTAATTTTTTATTTTTTTATTGGTTGTTCACAACATTACAAAGCTCTTGACATATCATATTTTATACATTAGATTGAAGTGGGTTATGAACTCCCAATTTTACGCCAAATGCAGATTGCAGAATCACGTCGGTTACACATCCACAATTTTACATAATGCTCAATTAGTAATTGTTGTATTCTGCTACCTTTCCTATCCCCTACTATCCCCCCTCCCCTCCCTTCCCATCTTCTCTCTCTACCCCATCTACTGTAATTCATTACTCTCCTTGTTTATTTTCCCATTCCCCTCACAACCTCTTATATGTAATTTTGTATAGCAATGAGGGTCTCCCTTCATTTCCATGCAATTTCCCTTTACTCTTCCTTTCCCTCCCATCTCATGACTCTGTTTAATGTTAGTCTTTTCTTCCTGCTCTTCCTCCTTGCTCTGTTCATAGTTGCTCTCATTATATCAAAGAAGACATTTGGTATTTGTTTTTTAGGGATTGACTAGCTTCACTAAGCATAATCTGCTCTAGTGCCATCCATTTCCCTGCAAATTCTATGATTTTGTCATTTTTTATTGCTGCATAGTACTCCATTGTGTATAGATGCCACATTTTTTTTATCCATTCATCTATTGAAGGGCATCTGGGTTGGTTCCACAGTCTAGCTATTGTGAATTGTGCTGCTATGAACATCGATGTGGCAGCATCCCTGTAGCATGCTCTTTTAAGGTCTTCAGGGAATAGTCCGAGAAGGGCAATAGCAGGGTCAAATGGTGGTTCCATTCCCAGCTTTCCCAGGAATCTCCAAACTGCTTTCCAAATTGGCTGCACCAATTTGCAGTCCCACCATTAATATATAGTTTAAATCAAACATTTTCATATTTTGTTTTGTTTGTCCAGGGTCAAAGTAATACTTGTGTTTTCCAAGAAATACTATCAAATCAATAAATCTTATCAATTAATTCAAGAGTTACGTTTACGAGATTTTTTACATTAAATTAAATATATATACATATCTACTCTCAATCATTTTCATTGAGAGAACTGGTAAGCTCTAGCAAAGTTATATATTCTTTTGGAAAACCATAATATAAATGCCTAAATTCTTAAATACAATTGATGAAGAAACTCCTTTGTACAGCAGTTCTCACTCTCTTCAATACCAATAATACATTGCCATTGGATTTCTCCCACTCAGAAGAGTAATCACATTTTCAACTTCATTATACCCAAACCCAAGATCTCCAACTTTGAAACTCTCCCCTCTCATCAAAACCTTTTATCTTTACACATGAAGCAGTTTCCTTATTTCTGAACCTACCTTCCTAGTCACCATGACCTGAGTAAATAATCCTACAGAGTTCCATCTGCAAAGCAGATTATGACCCAAGGCACTGTGCCATTTGCTCAAGAGAATCAAGTGGGATATATGTTTTAAGTCCTTGTCATTCAAATATCGAAAAAAATTTTTAAATCTTTGATTATTTAAGGTTTTGCTGTGTATGGATAAAAAAGAAATTTAAACTAGTTTGTTTAGTCATCTGCCTAACCATATATACACAAAAGTATCTGTTCATTGAAAAATATTTCAGTGTCTGACCCAGGCCAATGTGATGCAAGTCCACAAAGCCCTTAATGCTTCTGGAAAATTGTTCTGTGTGTTCCTACGTCATTCACTCTTCCTTTCTGCTAGACAGTAATTATACACCCTCCACTCACCTGAAACCTCAGCACCTCCTCCATAAATCCTCATTCTCAGTTGATGACTTTGTTTCCTACTTCACTTAGAAATTAGGATCAAAGAAAACCTCCCCAGACTTCCATTATTACTGCATCTACTCACATGAGCATAATCCATGCTCCACCTCTCTACTAAATACCAGAGAACTAACTACCCATCTCCTACCCAAACCAGTAGCTCAACTTGTCCATTTGACCCCATCTCCTCTGACTCACTCAAAAATACTACTATTGGAATTCCCTTCTACTAAATCATTGTTTCTTTACTCTCTATTAGATACAGCCTACAACCATGATGTTATTTCTCCTAGAATATTCTCATTTCCCCACTTCCTCTAAATGTTGATCCATTGTTCTGCTCTTTTGTGAAGCAAAATTTATCAAAATGGTTTCCTCTACAATCTCCAGTTTCCCTCCTCTAATTTTCTCTCAAACCCACTACAAGCAGATGTTTGCCCCAATACTTCAACAGAACCATTTCTGTCAAAGTCACCATAAACCTCCATGTAGCTAAACCCAAAGGCCAATTTCAATCCTAATCTGATTTTAGCTATCAATGATATTTACCATAACCAATAACTTTATCTTCCTCAATATATCTTTTCCATTTGGTTTTTTTGGACACCGATACCCTCCTGTGCTTTCCCCTTCACAGTCTTCTATGAAAGAGGCCCTCTTCTCCAACATTGGGTGTCCCAGGTCTCATTTGTTGGTCCTCTTCTCCATCGAGTTTCACCCCTTAGTGGTCTTACCTGTTCTCAAGGTTTTAAATATCCATATGCCAGTGGGTTCCCTGTTGTGTAACTCCAGCACAGAATCCCTCCTAAATTCCAGAGTGACTACCCAGTTACCTATGTAATATCCCATATTCAGTATTTCCAAAACTATACTCCTGACCTTTCTCTCCAAACCTGTTTTATCCATAGCCTTTTCCTTCTTAGCTGTTAGCAAATCCATCCTTGCTATTAAAAATAAATAAATAAATAAATAAATAAAATCTCAAACCCATCCTTAATCTCTCTCTGTGTGTGTATCTATATAAATATAGGTATGTTTGCATATACTTATGCATATACACTCAGATCCATCAGGAACTCCCATTGGTTCTACTTTCAAAATATATCCCTAACCCAATAACCACTTATCACTTTCTTCCTGCTGCCTCTGTGGTTCAAGTTATGGCTACCATCTTTGTCCTGGATTACTACAATTGCCTTCTAAACAATTTCTATGCTTACCCTGCCCCCATTAGAGACTATTCTCAACATAGCAACCAGAATGATCATGCCATTTTTCTGCTCAAGACTCTGTAGGGGCTTCTAATCTCAAAGTAAAAGCCAAGCCTTTAAAATAACCTAAAAGCCTTATGTGATCTGACCTCCCATCAGTGATCCCTCTGATTGTGACTCTTATTATATCTTTCTGTGCTCACAACACTCAGGCAACACTGGCCTTCTTTCTATCCCCTGAGCACTCCAGGCATGCCTCATCCTTGAGATCTTTGATCAACCAGGAACTTCTTCCCAAAATGTACTTTTGTCCCATATATCCACTTGCCTAGCTCCCACACCTCTTTCCATTGCGCTCAAGTGTCTCCAACATCAGACCATTCTGTATCATGCTGCCATCTGAACTGTCCCCAGACACACACCAGATCCTTCCTACTCAGCTTTATTTTTTTGTTTTTTTTTTATGCACTTGTCACCTTGGAGCATTCTATGTATTTACTTCTTTGGTTTGCTTTTCATTTACATTTTGTCTTCCTTCACTAGACAATAACTCCTAAGACTACAGAGGATTTGTTCCCTGTCGGTATAGCCTCAGATACAGGAAAGAGGAGCCCTTGCCCTGATGCCTCTCTATGGATAATCCTGCCTCTTCCCGTTTTGACTCTTTGTCACATGCAGAGCTCTCACTCTAAACCATGGTCAAAAGATGAGGATCCCAGAATTCATGGTCCCAACAGCCAATGCAGTCTTTCTCTCTGGGTCTACTCACCTGAAGTCAGACTGCACCACCTGTGAGAGCAATGGGAGGCTCTAGGGGTGATTGAAGGAAACAAAGGATATGGGTGCAGCTTGAACATGTCCACAAACATGAACATGAGGCTGCCCAAGGAACATGAGGGAGCCAGGGAGCCAGGGGCAGGAAGA